GGGGCCCCCCCACAGTGTATAGGGCCCCCCAGGTTCCCCGGGGGCCCCCGGGAGTCATGAGGAACCTTTCGATGGTGGGGGGGGGGGCATAGTGGGTTCGGTCTCTCCTGCAGACGTAGGTGAGAAAACGCCACGTGTGTGGGAAAACGCAATTCAGTTCTTTACAACCTAATGTAGCATTTGGTTGTGATTTCTCGTGTTCAACTTCATCAAAGTCAATTAAAACGGTCTCTGTAACGGTCTAAGCCTTGAGAAAATGTGGAAAATTGGAAAGTAAAAATATTTTTGCTTGAGGAGTGTGCATGAAACGCACGGCATTTTATGAGCGAGCGCCTCAATTACTGAACATCCTCCAATTTCGGATATGTAGGTATATAATATAATAGTGGGGAATAAATGTCTCGTTATCGGAATTCCACTCTCTGGCAACTAGCCCTATGTAAACGCGGCTATTATATGTTTCACTAGGAATCGAGCGCTATTGTACTTTTAGCCAGAAAATAAATGCTTGGGTAATTCTGGGACACTCTGTATTAATTGGAGGAATAGGACTACGAATGTACGTGAGCTGCGAACCATACCTGTAGGTGGATCGTGTTTTGTATCTTTCGTTGAGTTTTCGGGTAGAAAACTGGAGGGGATGCAGAGTGGTATGTGTTATCTCTCATCTGTATGGTAATGCCAACCTATCTCTGTTTCAGATATGAGCCCGGAACATTCGTGACTGTACCGTTGTCTTTCGATAATACAAGTCAAGAGCTCACGAATGTCGTATTGATCAAAATGTATTGATTCTGATAGGAAAATGAACGATCTCTCCAAAAAGCAATCCAGTAATACAGTGGCACCCATAAAGCGTGAGCAGCGACGGTTCAAATTAAGTGGGTCACTAATTAGGCATTTTACGCTACAAATTAGGTACCTAATGATTACCTAATTATCGTTACAACCACAATGCTCAGAACAGCGCTCGATCTTGTTTATTATTCGTTCGTTTCGATGCAAAGTGCAGTGAGAATGGGATTTAACCCGCAAGTTGCTGGGGGGGGGCGTTAAACGCCCCCACTTTTTTCGCCGGGCCATACCATAAAAACGGCGCGCCGCAGGCGCGCCAACTTTTGGGGACCTGTAGGGAATTGATCGAAGTTTATTGTGACAACGTTTGAAAAAAAAATCAGTCGAAAATTCTTGAGATAGCGAGGTTTTAGTGACGTCATGATTTCTGAGTTTTCGACCAAAAACGGCATATGTTCAAAAAATCATATAAAACCAGTATAGCGCCTTTTGGGGCGACTAACGGAGCGAGCGAGGGGGTGACTCTTGCACGTGCGAAATTTTGAGGGGGTACCTCCAACTGACTTGTGCACGGCAGTCGGCACCCTACTGACCGGTTTCTAGCGATGTGCCAAATTTGAGCACAATCGGCCCAGCCGTTCTCGAGATCTGGGAGCGGCACCCTGCACGTGCGCACGTGCAAAATGGGTCCCAACTGACTTGTGCACGGCACCCTACTAACTGGTCCCTAACCATGTACCAAATTTGAGTGCCATCCGTCCAGCCGTTCTCGAGATCTGGAAACGACCCCTGCACGTGCGCACGTGCAGCAGCACCCCAACTCTGGCACGCCACATGGATATGCAGTGCCTATAGTGGGTGCCTACCTACATGCCAACTTTCAGCGCAATCGGCCAAGTAGTTACCGAGATATTGCAACAATTACAAAGCTGACACCTCTTCGTTTTGCACGTGGCACGTGCATAAGGGGTCACCCACATGCATCGGGAATAGTCCAATACTTGGTAGAAGGAATGAAGCTATTCTACAAAAATTACCGCGTGTAAATCGGTCAAGTGGTTGCTGAGATATAAGCCTCGCAAAAGCGTCCGCACGGCCGGCCGCTCATACTCAGAAATTTCCGTTATTCTACGTAAGACTCCGCTCGCTTCGCTCGCTCCGTAATCACAGAATAGACATACAGACATGCCGTAAACGCCATTAGACTGCCAATACAATGAACATTCAATCAAATGGCTATCTTTGATTAACCCTCGCCCGCACATGGGGGGGGTGGTTGCCACCCCCCCCAGGCAGTCTTTCTGCTCTGCACTCAACATTTTTAGAGCTAGAAGGCTGATTTTTCGTATAGCTGCTCCTCTATCCTTTCTTGATGTCCACTGAAAATTTCAAGTTTCTGTGATTTTTGGTTTTGGAGAAATGACCTTGTTTTTCAGGTCATGTCATGACCCAAATGGCCAATTCTCGACATCTTGCGTTTGCCATGGGCCTTGTGAGCTTTTGACACCCTGATTTCGGCCTTTTTTGCCAGTCTTACCTCCCACCTATCATGGAACATGTTGTTCGACGATGTACAGGGGTCAAGGTCAGGGTCAAGGTCAACCTAGGTCATCTAAGATAATTGCGTTTTAGGCAAGCTGAATTTACTTTTTGTGAAGTTTTTTGACTGCATTTTTTGTAAAAGCTTCTCAGATCATGATTTTATGTGATATGGACCCAAAAACAATCGGTGCACACATCAGTATACACACAGACACACACAGACATACAAACACATATAATTGACCTTGACCTAACTTGACCTGAAATGACCTCAGCAGCAAAATTCTGGTCGGATAGTGTGACAAAGAGGTTCTAGCTAGCTTGGCACCAGAAAACAGCATCGTCATCGGTATTTGATAAGCAGCGCACTTGACATCCAACGGTGACCCAAAACAGCAACATTTTTTAGTTTGACCTGACCTGGAAGGTCAATGACTGACCTGAGAAGGTAAAACTGGGTATCATTGGATTCGTCTCTTCCCAAAGAATCTTTTTGGTCTTTACTGCTAAGCTCTATCTCCAACAGGAACGAAATGGCGCGGGGGGGGGGGGGGTGGCAACCACCCCCCCCCCCCATGTGCGTTCTAGGATGGGAAAATGGCATGTGCGGGCGAGGGTTAAAGAGTATCGTTCCACATTTTCCAAATTCTTGATCTGAATCTTGGCAATTTCTCGTGACTACTTCACGACCATGATACATGCATTTCTTAAATTGAACTTTTTGAGCCAAACACGTGCATGTATGATAAAATGAATGCACCATCGTGTTCTACGCCCCAAATTACCCATAAAACATGTGTCACAGGCTGCGAATATCAGTATTGAGTTTCGGGGATATGTGCCTACCCGGTTGACCTGACCTTGACCCTGACATATGCTTGACACCCCTACATGGAGCTGACACTCTTGTAGGCCTTATATGATGGATTGTGCACCGTTTTGACAGAGTTTATGACGAGAGGCGCCCATTGCGAAGTCCTGAAGTCCATGCTACTGAAAGCCCGATTTCAGGTGTTTGACCTGACCTTGACCCGACCTGTGACCTCAAAATTCAACTTTGAAGTACTCATCTGAAGCGTCTTGTCGCGTTCTTTCGTTTGCCGCCTCGTGCGTTTCGCTGCGCCTATTGGTTCTCGAGCTATCGGCTGGGGGCGTTTAACCCCCCCCCCCCCCCCAGCAAACGGTGGGTGGCGAAATACCTCAGCAACTGCCGGGTTAAGGTACTTTCTTGTTCAACTTTATTTGAAACTGGAGCACGTACAGGGACCCGCAGTTGCTACTGTACAGCGACCCTGAGTAAATTGTCCCAGCACCCTCACAGGGAACAACGATAAGCTGTCAGAGGGTACTCACAGGAAACCTCAGCTGCTCTTGTACAGGGACCAGCAGTCGATATCAATGTTATCGGTTGTTACTGGACAGGACAGACGGTTAGGCTTGGGGTTCGTGTACAGTAGCAACTGCGGGTCCCCGTACCCGTGTCCCGCGGCCGCGAACCGCGACTTGCGAGAACAGACAGATGGGGCACAAATTATTCCGTAATTTCCATGCTGATAATGACGCACTGTCTAAATGTAGGGTAAGGTGCCTAATTAGCGACCCTTTCCGATTTGCGACCTACCTCCCTACAGAAAAGCTAGTAGGAGAAAACGGGGTAAAAACATTGTCAAAACCTCAGCCATACTTTGGTTATCAAATTAAATTATTTTTCGGTCGTCGATGTTTCTGGTGGGACGTTTCAGATGCGTTTAAATAAAAATGACGAGTTTCTTATCCAAAACGTGTGTGTTTGGGCCCTCTCTGATTAAAAGCGATGCACATTAGGATGATGCACCTTTTTTATTCTGAATCGACATTCCTTTTTCAATTGATTGCCGTTTTTCCATAGTGAATCGCTCAACTGTGCACAGCATGGCGGTTAAAAATGTGTCGCAACTCATATTTCCTATTTGCGCCTGACATGGTCGCAAATTAGCTCAAGAATGGAAAGAAAGAGGAAAAGAGAGAAATGAAAATGAGGTGTTGCTGAAGCTTGCAATGTGTGGCAGGGGATGCCAAATGTCGTCACCGACTGAGGGGTGCCGAATTCAGCGCGGACCTCGAATATCATACGAGATAGCCCGCAAAATTTGGGTTTCCGCCTTCTTTTCGCATTCGGTGCATCGCGTGATCAGTTTTTACTTACGTAAATGTGTTGGATAAACGTTCTTGTTCGAGTGATTGAGTGCTTTGCGTAAAGGTTACCTTTTTGAGATCATATTTCATCTTTTCAGGCGTCGCATTTTTTGTCATTTTTAATATGGGGAAACCCATAGACTTATTAGCGACCCTCCCCGGTCGCTAATCGGGAAGAGTTCCCTATTAGCGTTTTTTGCAATGGTTTGCCAAAATGCTCACTACAAATAAGTTAGTGAATATTGGGGCACAAAATGACTATATTTCAATACAAAAATGAACGATCTCTCCGAAAATCAAGCCCGTAATACAGTGGCACCCACAGAGCGTGAGCAATGACGGTTCAAATTAAGGGGGTCGCTAATTAGGCACCTTACCCTATCGATCAGATATGTATATTCTGAAGTAACAAGCATCTTGTGTCACACTGTATTAGTTATTAAAAATGCCTTTAATTATTTATGCCGACTTACGTGCGCTGTTCTCACCTGATTTGGTCGTGGACGGTTAAATTGACGGCTGGCTCTCGGTCAGTGCCCAGGGGTCGGTTATGACTGCCTCTGTGACACCCTACTTTGCTGAGCTGTTATCATTGCGCCCGACGGATTGGTGCTATCTGACGTGCACTTCACTGCGCCGATACCTTTGTATCGGACGGCGTAGGCTAGCCCGGCACGGGACTTCACCAGGATCCTGATAAAGATTGCGGTTCCGAGACGGCCTTTTCATATAGTTATTCCTTTAACAACCTGAAGTGGTCCATTTGCCCTTCAAACAATGCAAATATGCCAATACACATTTCCTGTTGAATTCCCTCGCGATTCTTTCTCCCTTTCCCAAATTGCCATCCAACATCAAACCTGTTTAGTTGCACACACCTTTGAGGTAAGCATGGTAACATATTCACAACGCTCGTTATTCCGCTGGAGCCTTCGATAAACATTTTTACGTTTCGTACCCAATACACATAGATATCAAATAATGATAGGTACCTATCCATGCTTAGTTATCAACTGAATTTTATATCACAGGCTCAACAAATTAAACAGCTTTGTAGCAGGAGAACTCTACACAAAGCTGTCGTCTTCATCCAAAAATGGATGATAGTCACGGCTTTTAAGCCCCATTAAGAATTTTCATATCTGAAAAATCACAGCCTTATTACAATTTGTATATTTTGCATCCCAAAGAAGTTCAGCAATACACTATCATGCAGGATTCCATACAGTTCACGACAAAAAGGGATTACAGATTTACAGATATTTACAAAAAAGAGATTGTAATTTGTAAGCGCGCTCATTTAAAATTTGACTAGAACTGCCGAGACGCACATACGAGTATACCTACAAGAGGCACATATACATACATATACCTGTAGGATCTACTAATGTATAGGCTCATGAAAAGTAACTATAATACTTTTATAGTTTTCGCCTTACGACACCGTTAGACCTAAAATACGCAGTACCTAGAGTTTCGGCATACGTGGCACCATAGGCCACACTATATCAGTAGGCAATACAGTAGTCTATGGTGGCATGCGTAGCATATGTATAGGTAGGTGGTGAGCGATGTATGCACCTATTCTGAGTTAATTGCACCTGGCGTTGACCGCCGGACTAGACTGACTCGGCCTGCAGGCCGCTGAAGTACTCCAGCATGGAGGCCATCTGGTGCGGACAGCTGCTGAAGAGCTTGTTACACGAGTCGGCGCCGAATCTCTCGCCCATGAAGGCGGCGTACCAGTAGGCCCCCTTGCTCGTCTGCATCTTCTCAAAGTCGACCCCGTCCAGCTCCCGGCTGCGGACGGACGTCAGAGCACTGTCAAACCGAACGGACGACTTCCGGAGGAGATGTGCGGGGCGACAGCCTCGTGTGTCGCCGGCACATTGGAGCAAGGCTTGCAGCGCTGAGCTAATTCGGCCGCGCACTGTAACACGGTCGAAGTTCCTTCACACTCTCCCCCTCCCTTTCCCTCTCCCGACTCCCTCCCCTCCCTCTCCCTACCGCTTTCCCTCTAACTCTGCCTCTACATACACACACACACACACACATCTCCCTCTCCCTCTCGGACTCACCCGAACAGCGCCGACACCATGGCCTCTTCCTCACTGAGCTCCTCCTCGGGCCGCGCCTGGATCAGACAGACGAACTTGAGCGCGCAGCCGAGCTGGTCGGTGGCGCTCACCAGGTCCCAGACGACGGCCTCGCGGCGCGCCGGCACCTCCACCGAGCGCTTCCCGCGCCGGCTGGCCAGCGCGATGGCGCCCACCACACCTGCGGCCGGGGGTAGGTACAGACAGGGACATCACAGCGACCAGCTTACTTGTGGGGTACCACACCGTCAGTATTCGCTTGTGCTAATGTCAGCTCCGCCATCTCCCGTAACGTCCGAGCGCCAGGCTAGCGTTAAGTGAGCTAAACTATCCGATCGCCAGGCCAACCGTGCAACAGACCCAGCCAGGCCTCCCAGACGGACCAAGTTACGCCGCTATCAACTCACCCACGCCGAGCGCCAGGCCGCCGAGCGCGGCCAGTCCGGCGGCGCCTGCGGCCGTGCCCGCCGCCACCGTGCCCGTGGTGGTGCCCAGGATGAAGGTGGCCTCCACAGCGGCCAGCGCGGCCAGCGCGGCCAGCAACAGTACAGAGGAGCGCATCGCGACGGAGCGGGGCCGCAGTCAGTGTTAACGTGAGCGTCCTCGGAGGAGGCGGCGGCTTTATACCGAGCTCGGCGGCCTCTCTGAGGAGACGGGAGCGGCGGGCGTCCTTTCGCCGGCCGCCGGCAGGACCGAGCGCGGCCAGCGGCCGCCGGGGTGCCCCCGGGGCTCGCCGAGTGGTCACCGGTCACCGCCAACACTGCGCGATAGTGCTGACCAGTCATGGTGTGCCAGCCACAGTCATGTCGCTGTCATGGTGTGCCGGAGCCGGCCGTGACTGGCGCCTCTCGCCCCGTGCGTGATTTCCGTTACTTAGTTAGTGATTTGGGACCGGGACGAAACGATGCCGAAATGCAAAGAATCTTGCTTGAATATTTGTCAAGCTGATTCAATGCTATAACTAGTTTCACAACGTGTCGCACCGAAGACGGTGCTTTATATTCCTCAGCGATCAAGTCCTATAAGCATTGTATGGTAAACGTTTAATAGCTTTACAGTTGACGCTACAGTCCCGCGTTTAATCTATCCATATATTGATATATATTGATATATCCATATATTGATATACGGCAAGGGGGGTCCGTTGGACCCCCCTTGCCGTTTCGCCCCTGATCGAGCTAGAGCTTCGCGGAAAAAACGAGCGTGTTGCCCGTGACGAGAGGAAGCCGATGATGCCCAATTTTAAGGTCCTAGGTCATTGGTTGACCTTGCAGGTCAGGTCAACGACTCAAAAGTCGGGAAAATCGGGACCTGTTAGAACGTCGTAAAGTGTGGCTGCTATGGGGTTTTCGGGGTGCTGATCACGAATATCATGTTAGTTTTGATCACAGATGATGTGTCTTCATGCATTTAGGCCAGGTCGGGTCAGGTCAGGTCAGGTCAACCAGTAAGGGTATTCGTAGTAGGTGGCAACCGCCTCTGACAGCTTCGTAACATGTTACGAAGGCACCAAAACTACTTCGTAAATGTTCATATGGTTGCTAAATTCCAATTCAGCTAAAAAAAAACTGGCCTAGAAACATGTAAAACTCGAAAAAGTGAACCGAGGTCATCAAAGGTCAATGACCTGACCTGACCTTCAGGTGACCTTGACACCCACCCCTATGCATGGGGGCAACATCATATCACATGTTTGAACGCTCGAAACCACGAAAAGACTGCAAACGCGCGGCTAATGCGAGCCGACATACGCCGTATCGCGATTCCGGCCAAACATGGTCTCGAAAAGTAGGTCACAGGTCAAAGGTCATTTGGGTCAGGGTCATGAAATTTTCAGGGTAGGTGTAAAATTGAATAACGCGAGGGTACTGAAAGTTTCGTCGCGATCAGCCGCTTTTTACGCGAGTTATTTGCGAAAAACCATGGGGGGTCCGTTCGACCCCCCCTATACGGGCTAGGGTTAAATAAATATAAATAATTTTGATGCATTTTTGCTTTAATCAATTTATTTAACACAAAAAGATGTGTCTTATCGTGCCTTATCTTGAATTTCGGACACCTATTTCAGACTTTGTAGCGACTCTCAGGCCTATCGTTGAAACACAGCATGGGTGGCTAAAATGCGTCTTATGTGGAAATCGTCTCTCCCTCATATAAGTATCGCCTCGGTTTTGGAACACGCGTCTCCGGGCCGGCAGCGTAGCGCCCTGCCCGAGGCGGGGACTGGCTCTGTGTGGACTCTGGATCGCTCTGTGTGAACTCTGGACCTCTCACGGGGACCGCCGCGCCGCTGCAGGACGGTGACTTGCACTGGTGAACAGCAGAACAACTCCCTGGCGACGGAGATATTCACTGAACACTGACCACTGGTCAGGTAGGTGACGGTCTTCTGAACACTGATCAGTGCTCACTGGTCGGACAGGTGACGGTCTTCTGGCCACTAAATGACTGTCGTAACACGTTAATAGCGAGTCAATTACACGGAGTGTTGGAGAGATCAGCGGACCCCAAATAACATCCGTTTCTGTGCCTATCGACCTCATAGTTAGGTGGATCCCACACCAGCGTCTCACCGCGCCGGTCTGAAACAGTGAAACCTTCGTGAATACCGAGAAAGACGACAGTCGGGCTTTAGAAGCGCATCAATGAGCGTCACAAGACTATCAATGATAATATATCGTAATTAATAGTTAATCAAACAATTTAATAGTCAAGTAGGTAAATGTCGTTTTCACAAATACATACAAAGACTGTTCGTTGTGCTGGTTTGGGCTCTTTTTTTGTGTTTGGAAATTCCCGTCCCGTTGGACAGATCACCAGTCCCGTGGATTAGAAGTGGGACACCCGCGTCCCGTGGGACAGGTCACCCGTCCCGTGGATTAGGAGTAGGACACCCGCGTACCGTGGCCGTGGGACAGGTCACCCGTCCCGTTTCACCCCTCCCGTGGGACAGGTCACCAGTCCCGCTCCACCCCTCCCGTGGGACAGGTCACCAGTCCCGCTCCACCCCTCCCGTGGGACAGGTCACCAGTCCCGCTCCACCCCTCCCGTGGGACAGGTCACCAGTCCCGCTCCACCCCTCCCGTGGGACAGGTCACCAGTCCCGCTCCACCCCTCCCGTGGGACAGGTCACCAGTCCCGCTCCCCCCTCCCGTGGGACAGGTCACCAGTCCCGCTCCACCCCTCCCGTGGGACAGGTCACCAGTCCCGCTCCACCCCTCCCGTGGGACAGGTCACCAGTCCCGCTCCACCCCTCCCGTGGGACAGGTCACCAGTCCCGTTTCACCCCTCCCGTGGGACAGGTCACCAGTCCCGCTCCACCCCTCCCGTGGGACAGGTTACCAGTCCCGCTCCACCCCTCCCGTGGGACAGGTCACCCGTCCCGTTTCACCCCTCCCGTGGGACAGGTCACCAGTCCCGCTCCACCCCTCCCGTGGGACAGGTCACCAGTCCCGCTCCACCCCTCCCGTGGGACAGGTCACCCGTCCCGTTTCACCCCTCCCGTGGGACAGGTCACCAGTCCCGCTCCACCCCTCCCGTGGGACAGGTCACCAGTCCCGTTCCACCTCTCCCGTGGGACAGGTCACCAGTCCCGCTCCACCCCTCCCGTGGGACAGGTCACCAGTCCCGCTCCACCCC